CCCCTCTCTGGGGCATCTGGGGGACCTCTATTTTGTGCAATACCAGTTTCATGTATTTTGAAGGTCTCATGTTAGGTACATACTAAGATTTTCCTCAGCCTTTTGATTAATTGGCCTCTTTGTCATTATAAGATGACCTCTGGCTCTTTTTATTGTTTACTTTTCTGATATTAATGTAATCATTCCAGGCTTATTTTAATTAATTCTTGCATAAGATTTTTTTCTTCATCTTTTTATTTGTGCCTTCATTCCAAATGTATTTCTTGAAGGCAGTAAGTAGATTGGCCTTGACTTTTAGTCTAATACAGCAACCTCTCCCTCTTAATTGAAATATATAGATTATTCAGATTTTATTTAAGTGGAATTTTATTTATCTGCAAAGAAAAACGAAATTATAAAATTTTCAGGAAGATGGATGAAACTAAAGACATTATATTATGTGAGGTAACCCATGCTCAGAAAGACAGACACTTTATGTTCTCTATCACATGCGGACCCTAGCCTCGAGCTGTTAAATATGCATATCCAAGTGCGAGAAAATATGGCTAAAGGCAAGGAAACTGAAAAGGGCCAGTGTGACTGGAAGAAAGGAGGCTGTAAGAGGATTGTAGGGAAAAGAATAGAGCAGAGTGGGATGGGGGAGTGCTAGGTGTGAGAGGGCAGAGTGGGATGGGGGAAACAGGGACAGAAGGGAGAGTAGGGGGAGAATCAACAAATATGAACTCTATAAAACCCCATGTGGGAATTTATTATTTTGTATACTAATTTTTAACTTTAAAAAAGTTAAATTGAGTATTGACATAGACTGTCATCTTGTTATTTGATTTCCTTTGTCTATTCTTTTTATCTTTTTATTTCTGCTTTCTTTTATGTAAATTGGATATTATTTGTAATTCCATTTTATTTACTTTGCTGGATTATTTGATACTATTGGTTTTCTTTCACTTCATTGGTCAAGGAGGATTTGTAGTGCATATCTTGAACTTATTAGTCTAGCTTCAAGAGGGATTATACCATTTCATAATTACATTGTATTATACTGTAATGCTGTGCTTCCGTTTTTCCTTTTCAACTTTAACACTGCTGTCACATGTTTTACCTATGTACGTGTTTTACCTATGTACATGTTTCAGACTGCACAATGCATGTTTATTGTTTTTATTTAAAATGACAAATTTGCTTTTAAAGTGTTTTAAGCAACAATGAAATGGTTGCCTGTCTTCATTTCTGGTGTTTCATCTTCATTTGTGTGATTTTTGCCATCTGGGTGTCCCTTGCTTCTGCCGAAGGGCCTCCTTTTTTAGTAGTCTGGGTCTCCTGATAGTGTGTCAGGTCAGCTTTCATAGGGCTGGAAAAACCTTATTTCACCCATACTTTTAAAGAACATCTTGGGATACAAAATTCTAGGTCTTACCTCTTAAAAGTTATCAGTCCTCTGATTTCTTGTTTGCCCTGTGTCTAAGGACAGCACATTCTTACCTATCATTTAATTTTGAAGCAATTTGATTATTCTGAAGCTTGAGATAATGGTTAATACTGCCTATTAGACAAGGTCTACACTCACCTAGCAGACTTACCTTTGGGCATGAAGGGTCATCCAGATTAGGTTAAGGGGGTGGAGGGGGGACCACTTTAACTGTGGTGGTACCAACCCCAAGGGATGGGGTCCTGGACTGAATAAAAGAAGGTTAACCAAGCACAAGCATTTTTCACGCTCTTCTTCCTGGCCAAAGATGCAATATGACCACAGCTCAGGCCATGACTTCTCCACCATGATGGATGGCACCCTCAAATTGTGACTCAAAACATACCCTTTCTCTTTTCAAGTTGCTTTTGTTTGGGTATTTTATCACAGCAACAGGAAAAGTAATTAATATACTTGGTTTGGTTTACTTCTTTCTCTTTTCAAGTTGCTTTTGTTTGGGTATTTTATCACAGCAACAGGAAAAGTAATTAATATACTTGGTTTGGTTTACTTCCTGGTATGTGGGTGTTGATGAGCCTCTTGGATCTGTAGATGTGGAGTTTTCCTTAGATTTGGGGAGACTGTTTCTCCTAACGTTCTTTCTGCCCCTGTCTCTTTTTCAGAGTTTCTAGTTACATATCTATCAGTTATCTGACTTTCTCCCATAACCCACCAAATCTCTGCTCATCTATTTAAAATGTTTTCTCATTGTGCCTCATTTTCAATATTTTTCCTGTCTTCACATTATTAACATTTTCTTCTGTAGTGCTTAATCCACAGTCAGCCCAAGCCCACAGATTCTTCATCTTGGTCATTAAAGTTTCCTTCTCCAGAAGTTATATTTGGGGATGTTTATGTCTTCTGTGTTTTACTGCGTGATCAGATGGAATAGCAATGCAGTTAATCTATTATGATGCCTTTCTGCTAGTTCTAATATCTGGGCCAGTTTTGATTGATTGATTGATTGATTGATGTACTTAAAGGGGTGTTTTTTTTAGGTCTGATAGTTTTTTCATGCTTTTTCATGTTAATTTTTTAATGGCTTATGAGATATTATGAATTCTACTTTGTTGAACAAGATATATTTCTATATTCTTGATATTTGGGGCACAATTAAGTTACTGAGAAGTAGTTTGATCTTTTTAGGTCATATTTTTTTTGGTTAGGTAGTGACAGAATAGCTCTTAATATGGAGATATTTTTTTTTTTCATACTGAGACAAGACCCTTCTAGGCATTATACAGTGCCACACGAATCCTGAGATTTGGTGTGGGGCCTCTGCCTCCCCTCGTGGGTTGTTGGCCACCGACCCATGAGAAGAAAGGGAGCAGAGGCAACTAATTGGGTCAGGACGGCCAGTGAGCACAACAGAAAAGACCTTCCAGGAGTCCGTTTCAGTGAGACAGCTCGTTTATTGAGTGGGGGTCAGGGAAAATATAGTGTGGAGGCAGCAGCCAAAGCTTCAGCTGATAGGTGCTCATAGTGTGCTTTATTTACATGTGGTAGCAGGATCCTATCATCTGGCTATAGGGCAATGCCTAATTATCATATAGAAAAAAACCTGGGGGCAGTTTTTATTTCAGGTAACTATGCCAAATGTCATGTTCTGAATAAGGTCAGGCATCCGTGCTTGGAGGCACTTTTCAGGTAAGTCAGGCAGGAAGCCCCTGCTGAGAAAGGAGCTGACCTTAACAGGAGGGTTCCCCAACATTTGGCAGTCTGGCTGATGGGAGCACATTACTTCTAGCTTGAGCACCAGGCCCTGCTACTTCTAATCTTTTTGGGTGATTACGAGACTGAGTGGTTCCCTCACTGGTACGCGCTGCCCAGTGCTCTGCTGAGTAGTTGAGTGGACCCCTTTGCAGACCTCCCTGGCACTCTCTCTGGGCAACTAAACTGGCTCTAGCTGCCTGTGCTTCTAAGAACTCTCAGGTCTACTAGCTTGCCAGTTCCTGCCCTGCGGCCTAGAAGCTGAAACCAGCAAGGCCGGAGCAGTCACCCAGCTTACTTCCTTTCTTCCTATGTGTCGGAGGCCAGTGCCTTTCACCATCAGATGTCCGTTTTCTTAGTTGAGTCATGTGATAGAGCCATCAGTCTGGTCCTTTATTACAACAAAACACAAACTCCCCTCCTTTATCTTAAAATTCTTTTCTAGAAATACTTCTAAAATAAAACACCAAACATAATAAATTTTTGTTCAGATTTCACAGGAAATATTTACCGATTTTTACTGTTATACAAAAGAGAAAAAGAGATACCATATATGGCACATGTGATGGCCAGATGAAGCACAGCCGCTCTCTTGACTAGTGGGGTGTATGTTGTTACCCACATAGCCTCTCTTTCAAATCTGACCCAAAATCCCACACAATTTTAGTTTTACAGAAAGATGGCAAAGATAGAACAGAGTCCCCATCTACCCAGACTCCGTTTTCTCTATATTTACATGGTATGATTCTCACAAGTGATGGACCAGTACTGACACATTATTACTAACCTAAGTCCATAGTTACTTGGGTTTCCTTAGTGTTAACTACCCTCTTTCTGTTCCAGAATCTAATCCAGGTTCCTGCATCAGTTAGTCATCATGTCTCCTTAGTTCTCCTTGGCTACAAAAATATCTCACACTGTCCTTGTTTCTACAGCTATGATGGTTTTGAGGAGCACTGGTGAGTAACTTGCAGAATGTCTCTGGTTTGTGGACAATGTTGGGTTTTGTCTGCTTTTGAAATCATGATGGGACTGGGCTTGTCTTATGGTGATGTGGGGAGGCTCCATCCTATTCAGGGCACATATCAACAGGACGTATCACTGTGGATGCTGACATCACTCACCTCTTAGGATGTCTTTGTCAGCTCTCTCTGCTATAGCTCTTTTTTTTTTTTTCTGTTTTCTTTGGACAGAAGTCACTAATGCAGCTCACATCTCAAAACTGTTTCCATAAGCTACTTGGAATTCTTCTACATGGATATTTTTTCTCTTCCACTCAGTTATTTATTCAGTCACTTACTTATATCAGTAGTGTATGAACTCATGGATATTTATGCTATACTTTGGGCAGATAATCCAACATTATTCTGTTGCTCAATATGGGACTCTTTTTGCTTCTGTGGCATGTATATTTATTGGTTGATTGAGCAAAAAATTGGTTGAGTGAGTGAGTGAGTGAGTGAATAAGTGAATGACTGGGTAATTGTGACACAAGGGTACCACTATCTAGGCTAGCTTTGCATTCACAATAGGATCCTGCTTCCACCTCTCAAATCCTGATAAAGACACGTGCCACAGTGGATTCCTATACTTTCTACTGCAATGAAGTGACTTAATAATTGTGCTCCCCAGTGCCTGGCTCTTGCACATTGATTGAAGCACTGAGGAAGGCACACAGTCTCCAAGAGGTGTGTTATGCAGAGAGTCTGAAAGAGACATCGGACAGCAAGCAAGCTACACACTAGGGAAGAAAGTGCCTCATGTAGTAAATATTTCTTGAAGAAAACAACAAACTAGAAAGATAAACTGAAAAAGGAACCCAAACCTTTCAAAGCAAACTTATAAATGGCTTCACAGGCCTTGGCCAAGATCTCCTCCTCCGGGGAGTTGAGCATCAACACCACGGTGGCTGCTTTCTTGCTTTCAATTGTTAGAGGCTCAAACTGAAAAGGAAAAAGGAAAATTATCAGCTTCATATATAATCTTTAAATGTCATATAAAAAGTGAATGGGGCTTGCAAGAAGGCTCAGTGGGTAAGATCACTGGCTGCTCTTGCAGAGGACCAAGGTTCAGTTTCCAGCACTCATATAGTGGCTAACAATTGTCTTAATTTCATTTCCAAGGGATCCAGCACCCTCTTCTGGTCATTGCATGCACGTGGTACACTTAAGCACATGCAGGCAAAGCACTCATACATATAAAATAAAAATATATAAATAAAAGTAAACATTGACCTAAAACTTGAAGAGACCATAATCTTGTAAAAGGATGTGGTCTCTGCCCAATGGGCGCACTGGAAAATTCTTATTCTTATTATTTTTTAAAATCACTGATAAAGAAATGACTATTAGCACAGATGACCTTGGAATTCCTAGAAAACTGTGGGAAGAGAAAAAGGTTTTTGAGTTATGGAAGCAGTTTCTCAATTTGTCTCAATTTGTCGCAGTGGGAAGTCACTGCAGTTGCTTTGTTAGATGGATGTGATGCACCTGCGAAAGTACCGACCAAGCATTTGTGTTTACATTGGAGGTTAAGTTAATATAGCAGCCACTGTTTAGGTGTTCTTGCTTCTTACTCTGTGTGTGTTTTATAGTAGATGGAATCCCACTGAAACTGGCCAAGAGCCCATGGAAAACTCACGATGCAGAGACCAGAAAGTTCAGTGCCTTGCCACAATGGGAGGAAGATCATCCCATACCTACCACCCCCTCCAAAGCTCAGGGACTTTTGCAGAAGAGGTTGAAGGAAAGAATGTAAGCACTGGAGGTGAAGTGTTAACTGGAAGTATCCTCTGATCACTATGTCAGCTAGATATAGTCACACCTCCTTCCCACACTCATCAAGAAGTCCAGGGGGGAGTCAGTTGCCCCTCCCACCTAATCAGTCGACCCAAGCTGCATGTGGGGGAGTGGCAAAGTATATATGAGCCGAGAACACCAAGAGGCACCTCTCTCAACATTTTGTGCTGCCATTGGGAGGTCACAGGATCTGTATTTGAGTATGGAATTTAAGGTGCAACCATAAATATGGGGCACCCACTCTTCTGTAAATAAACCCCTACCCTATGCTCTGTTAGCAAACCCAATAAGCTAGTTAGGATTTTTTAAAAAAAAAAAAAATCACTGATAGAGAAACAACTATCAGCACAGATGACCTTGAAATTCCTAGAGAACTGTGGGAAGAGAAAAAAGTTTTTAAGTTTCTCAATTTGTCTCAAACAAATTGCTTAAGCTCCTAGAATGTTAATTACTTTTTCTGTGTTCTAGGCATAACTGCACATGTCTGAAAGGACCAAGGACAGGCTCAGGAGCTTATTATGAAGAACTTGGCACATTATCTGGCCCATAGTAGATACTCCATAAAATAGTACATTTCACTATCGTTCCCAGTCAACACAAGCATCCTTGAGCACCTGCACGTTTGTGATACCCTTGTCTCGCCAGCCAGTGCTTCCATTTCAACCCCTGGACTCAATGTGAAAGCAGGAATCTCATATGTGAAACAACAATGACAAAACGGCAGGAAAAGGCATGTAACCAAACATGAACTGTGTGGCTGTGGAAAAGAAGGAACAGCGATACAGCACCGAAGAGATGCATGGGACTCTAGACCTGGTCATGCTGTGAGGCTGGGCAAAGAAAGCAGATACTACTGTTCATTCATGATCTGGCTTTTGTAAGATGGAGGAAAAGACAACATCAGGGAGGCTTTTGTTTGGGGAAATTGTAGTCAAAATAGCAGATGGTAAGACCTAGGCAGGATAAGTGAGGAAATGAGAGAGAATAGAAGCACATGCACCGGAGATTCGAATCAGAAGTGCTGCTTGTGGTGAAAGCAGGACTCCCTGAGTCTTCCATCTTGTGCTGCTTGGCTGCCAGGGAACCCCTGCCCCCCAGCCTGAATGCTGCCAGTCCAGTGCTAAAGAAGACTCCCCTCCTCCTCTTCCTTCTCTTCCCCCTCATCTTCCTCCTCTCCTCCTCCTCATTCTCTGTCTCTCTGTCTCTCTCTGTCTCTGTCTCTCTGTCTCTCTCTCTCTCTTTCTCCTTTCTTTCTTTCTTTCTTTCTTTCTTTCTTTCTTTCTTTCTTTCTTTCTTTCTTTCTCTCTCTCTCTCTCTCTCTCTCCCTCTCTCTCCCCAGAATAATAGCATAAGACAGGTGTGAATTCTGGCTAGGTCTACACAGTAAGACCTTATCTAAAAAATTTTAAAAAGTAGAAAAAATTCTTGTGTAGCTAAAAATGAGCAAGAACAGATCCATAACCCTAGGGGCTTTCTGTGGTCAAGGAGCAAACAATTCTTACGCTGTTCTTTTTGGACCTGCATTGAAGCACCCCACCACTCTTGGACACTGTTAAGCTTCAGGGGAAAATGACATTACCTAAGTTCCCGATCAACCACTTCGGATGGGCTCACTGAAGCCAGAATTCTATATTGCTCTTGGGGAAGCTTGATTTCTCCTCGCCTGAAAAATTGCTTCAGACCTTTTCATTAGCCTCAGGTGTTTCATAGCTCTACTTACTCCCCTTTCTTTCACCTTACACAGGAAAAATTCAGAGATAATGAAGTTATCAAATAGAATCTCCAACAACTTCCAACTTACAGATTAGAATGTGCCTGCCATTGCTTCTTTTCTTTCACTGCTAGAGAAAATGTTTTCCTACCATCTAAGGCCAATCCCTAACGTGTGCTTCAGGTTTTTAACCTATTCATTTTAACTCACTCATTTATTCAGGGAACACATATTTGACCTCTAATAAGTGCCAAACATCAGTAACAGAACATAAAGCAAGGAAACAGAGCCCTCATTCTCACACAGCTCACAGTCTGCTACATTACACCATTAATCACCCCTTGTCTCTCGTGAATGGTCTTCTTGCCCCAGCAAGCGAATCTTCCCATTACTTCTTCTGAATCCACTTCACAGAGGGCCAATTTAGATTCAGTACAATGCACCCATTTTAAGTGTTAAAGGTTTTGAGAAACATACACATGTATACAGCCAAATATGCCAAACAATACGCATGACTTGCATTGCCCCAAATATTCATTCTGTCTACGTGCTGTTGACTCTTCTGTCCATGCTGGTCCCAGGCAGCCAACAATGGGTGTTTTTCAATACTTGGTGTTTTTTAAAGATTTATTATTATTGTTTTGTATTTAGGTGTGTGTGTGTGTGTGTGTGTGTGTCTGTGTCTGTGTGTGTCTGTGTGTGTGTCTGTATCTGTGTTTGTGTCTGTATGTCTGTGGGTTATGTGTGGGTACCTACAGAGGCCAGTAGAGGGCAGCAGATCCTGGAGCTAGAATTATAGGCAGTTGTGAGTCATCTCACATGGGTGCTGGGAACTAAATTCATGTCCTCTGGAAGGGCAGCAAGTGCCCTTAACAGCTGAGCCATCTCTCAAGTCCTAATATGCTTAGTTTAGTTTGCCTAGGATTAAATATTAAGAAACTATTTGTATATGGCTTTTTTATCTGGCAGAATGAGACTCATCTATGCTGCCCTGTGGCAGTAGTTCATTCTCTATTGCTCAGCAGTAACAGCCCTACAATACTCCATGATACACTTACCCACTCACTGGTTACTTTTGCTATTTTTTTTTTTACTTAGCACACAAAGTTGCATTGTGACATTTTATATCTAGGCACACTGCACTTTTCTTATTTACCCTCATGGTCCTCTCTTCCTACCCCACAGCTCTCCTTCTGTTTCCGTATATTTCATCACTCTCTCATTCCCCTCCCTCTCCTCCTTTGGGCCACTTCTCATGTAGTTCCCTCTTTACTTTTATATCCTAATTTATGTTTATATCCTGCACTTACATATGCATATATTTCACTTTAGATTTCAGGTAAGAGAAAACATGAAATATTTGTCTTCCTAAGTCTGGCTTATTTTCACTCAACATGATCTCCAGTTCCATCCCTTTCCTGCCCACATACCATTCACTCTTTTTTATGGCTAAATAGACTTACATGTGTACATGCACCACATTTTATTTATTAATTCATCCATGTTTTGGAAACAATATATTCATATATATATATCCTCTTGTCTAGGACCTAAAAGCTGGCTCCACATCTAGGCTGTTATGAATCATGCAACAATAAACATGGTCTTGCAAATATCTCTGATGGGATGACTCAAAAACCTTTGGGTATTGCCTTAGTTTCCTTCCCTATTGCTGTGATAAATATTCTGACAAAAACAACTTAAGGGAGAAAGGGTATATTTCTAGTCTATCCTGGTGGAGAAGTCACTACAGCAGGATCTTGAAGCAGCTGGTCTTGTTATGTCTACAGTCACAAGAAGAAAATAACAAATGCATGCTTGTTAGTGCTCAGTTCACTTTTTCCATCTTACACAGTCCATGAGCCTCTGAGTAGGGAATAGAAACACTCACAGTGGGCAGGTTTCACACAGTGCATCAAGATCATCCCCCATCTCCCAGGTGCTTCTAGATTCTGTCAAGTTGACCACTGACACTAACCATCATAGGTCTACACCCCAGATCCACTCAACTGTTAATGGACCTTTGGATTGTTTCAATTTGGGAACATTATGAATAAATCTATAATGCACATTTTTAAAAATTATTTTATTTTTTATGTATATGAGTATATTGCCTATATGTGTGTAAGTGAACTGGTGTTGTGCAGTGCTGGTGGTGGCCAGAGAGTATGTTTGATCCCTGGAACTGGAGTTACAGGTGGTTGTTAGTCACCATCTAGGTGCCAGGAACTGAACCTGGGTCCTCTGAGTTCTCTTAACCACTGAGCCATCTCTCCAGTCCCTATAGTGCACATTGTTATATAAATCTTAGAAACAAATATTTTTGTTTTGCCTGAATGAACACCTAGGCATAGAATTTCTGGCTTCAGAGGCTAGGGAGGTGACTCAGTCAGTAAAACACAAGGACCTAAGTTCAATCCCCAGCATGTCATAA